GGAAACTCTGTAGAGCAGCTAAAATTTCAAGACAGAAGGAGAGATGGAAGACCATGCCGGTAACAGACCACGTCCAGAGGGGGCTCGAGTGCCAGAGAGGCATCGCCATCGTGGAGAGGTCTGGATTCAGGTCAGGAGTCATGCCGAGCCAGGCAGATGACTGCGAGATACTTCATCTGAGGTGGTTCCGGAGAGGAAAGCTGCAGTTTGGTGAGGGACCCCAGCTATCGGCAAGGTGTAAGTTTTGTGAAGGTACCGAGGGAGTCGGACTTCGCCACACCTCCAGGTGTGCTGGAGGGTAGAACATTTCATTTATGGACATTAGGACTCCACCATGGTTACAGTTTTGGACTCTCGAAAAGGACTAGAACGTGGTGGTGAGAGAGAACTATTATGCCTGACAACCTGGACTGTGAAAGATGTAAGTGCAGGTAAAAGGGACTAAGAACTGTGCCGCAGATGCCCTATCCAGAAGACCAGACGACTGAAGGAGAAAAATGGACTTTTAAAAGGGTTAATGTATTGAAAAGTTTGTTGTATATGTACTTACTGATATGTTGTTTTTTTATATGCATATGTATGTGAACGTAAGTATAATTTGCATGGTGTAGTAAAAGGGTAAGCTTATGCATGAATGATCCTGACAAGTGTTTAGGAAATGTTGGGGAATGTAATTGTTTGTGAGAGCTCCTCGTTGTTTTGGGAGAAAAGCACATTAGCTTTCCCCCACAAAACAACTTATTAAGGGGGGAGGTATTGTTACTGTCAGCCAGAACATTACCTGTCCATCACAGCTGGGAGGGAAAATCTCAGCCAATGAGAGGGCGGAGGGTGGTGCAGAGGCGGGGGGAGCTGTGCTATATAAAGTGTGTGTGAGGTGTGAGTGGGGCAGATAGAAGAGAGGGAATGAGAGATAGTTAGCAGATAGATGAGAGATGAGTGTCTGAGCTGCGAGTTAAAGTAATCTTGGTGTCAGTGAGAAAGAGTCTGTGATAGCTAGTGCCTGAGAAACAGTGATTGATTTATTATTTATTTAACAGTGATTTACCATTCCTTTCTTTTTGTATTCAATAAACCAAGTTTTTATTTTCAAAAGTTATACTGGCCTGCTGCATGCTTCTTTAAGGAATGGCTGGTGGCAGTAAAGAAGAGTAAAGGGTTTTTGAAGTGACGTGATGACCTCCCTTTGTGAGTCTTGCATGCATATAAGTGCTGCATTGATTGGGCATTTCTACAGTTATAGAAAATTTGTCCTGTATCTAAGTAGTTCTATTTTACTTGATTATTTTTTGATCTTCCTATTTCATTTTGAAGTCTAAGTGATTTCCAGATGGTCGAGCCAAAGTCTTGTCTTAGTAGGAAACACTCTTCAGCATTCATCCATTCAGTGTGTTGTTTCTGTTCTCCATTGGTTTAACCTAACTTCTTCTGGTTTCATATTTAGAGCTTGAGATCTGTGCAGAAAACTTCCTTGTCTTCAGCTGTCATTCAGGGCTGTTGGCATTGACAAATTGGCTGGGTTTGGTGGTGTTACAGTGCAATGCTTCTGAAAGTGAAGGATTTGGCAGGCACATGCTGGATGCCCGAGTATACTCACAATATTTTTCCATTCTTCAGGGAGGCACCTTTTATGTTCCCACTAGTATATACCATGTTTCTGGAGTGAGAGTTGGGATGTAGCTGGTCCAGCATTCTCTTGAAATGGAGGAACAAGAACATTCCGAAATGGAAAGTTACAAATTGATCATAGTTCTCTGGTTGAAGGGCCGTCTGAAGCACAGCAGCATCTGGCATTGTTATAAAATTTTTCCACTTGTCTTTTTTGAAATTATATCTCTTACAGAATGGTATAGATTGAGGTTGGATGGCTGAATAGATCAGACGTAGAATACGTCTGTGCTGAGCATTCAGGATTGGATTACCTACACTCTTAATGCACTGTTGAGTTGTAGGCTCACTAAGAAAAATTAGATCTGGATTGTCACCTCTTTGCCACCTGCCACTGTTAAATGAAAAAAACACCAAAAAAAAGACCTGCCACTGTTAAATGAAAAAAACACCCAAAAAAAGAAGAACACAGCAAGTCCCACGCTGGGACAGCAAAAAATCAAAAACAAAAAACAAACAAATCCAAAAATAAAAATAAACATTGGAGCAAATCCCATACTGGGACAGCAAAAAACAAAACAAAACCACAACACAGAAACATAACCCCCTAGCCCAAACTTATCCTGTAAAACCCACCCTGAATAACTTTTTTTTTAATGGAGCACCTTACCTGTCCGAAGCCTCCCAGGGATCCACCGCCACCACAATCGCCACCTTTGGAGGCCTCCCAGGGCTTCCCCATCCCGATGCAGGCTTTCCCAGGGTAGACCGGGCTTGTCAGTGCTCAGACCATACACCGCACACTGCATCAAATTGGTCTCCAGGGCTGTCGCACCAGAAGGAAGCATCTTCCAAAGATGATGCACAAGAAAGCCTGCATACGGTTCACTGCAGACAAGCAGACTAAGGGCATGGATTTCTGGAACCATGTCATGTGAGACCAAGATAAACTTACTTGGTTCAGATGGCGTCAAGCGTGTGTGGCAGCAACCAGGTGAGGAGTACAAAGACAAGTGCGTTGTGTCTACAGTCAAGCATGGTGATGGGAGTGTCATGGTCTGGGCCTGCATGAGTGCTGCCGGCATTGGGGAGCTACACTTCATTGAGGGAACCATGAATGCCAACATGTACTGTGACATACTGAAGCAGGACATGATCCCCTCCCTTTGGAGATGCGACAGGGCAGTATTCCAACATGATTAACATCCCCAAACACACCTCCAAAATGACCACTGCCTTGCTAAAGAAGCTGAAGATAAAGGTAATGGACTGGCCATACATGTCTCCAAACCTAAACCCTATTGAGCATCTGTGGGGCATCCTGAAATGGAAGGTGGAGGTGTGCAAGGTCTCTAACACTCACCAGCTCTGTGGTGTTGTCATGGACTCTGTGCCCAAGAGGGTTAATACAGTGCTGGAAAATAATGGTGGCCACACAAAATAAGGACACTTTGTGCCCAATTTGGACAGTCACGGGGTGTACTCACTTTTGTTGGCAGCGGCTGGCCCCTGGGCTTGCTGGAACTGGGCTGCAGATACGGATCTCCACCCCCCACACTTGTGCTGGGGGCGTCATGCTCGCACAGGCGGCATGCTGCTCCTGTGGGGGTGCAAGTTGTGCTTGCGCAGGGGTGTGTTGCACTTCTGCAGGAGGCGTGTTGCACTCCCATGGTCACACGCATGTGTGGGGGCGCAACACGCCCCCGTGAGCACAACACACACCCCACGAGCGTGGGGGTGCCCCGTCCGCACATGGAGTCCGCTCCCCCCAACCGGTCTGTGGCCCCAAAAAGGTTGGGGATCGCTGGTTTAGACATTAATGGCTGTATGTTGCGTTATTTTGAGGGGACAGCACATTTACAAGCTGTACACTCACTGCTTTACATTGTAGCCAAGTGTCATTTCTTCAGTGTTGTCACATGAAAAGATGTACTAAAATATTTGTGAAATGTGAGGGAGTGTAATCACTTTTGTGACATACTGTGTATATGTTCATGTCTACAACCATATATCAGTCTTTTGTTTAAATCACAAACCTGAACATAATGTATTTTAGCACAATCTGATCTATAAGATTTGAAAGGGTTTTTTTAATGAAATATTTCAAACAATGGCATTTTTAGCAATACCTGTACATAAAATAATAGTGTTCTGTCTTTGTATTTAATCAGTGCGGAATAGTTAACTTCTAATCTGCATGAGACTGAAGGCTTATTATTTACAATATTTGAGAAACCAATACAACTCGCAGCTGCCTTGGGCTCTTGTTCTTTTATTTTTGTTAAATCAGATTAGAAGGTGTCATATCTAGGTATTCAGGAACACACTGACTTAGAAAATAATTTCATGCATCATTTGCTTTCTACTCCGGAAAATGTTTCTGCAGCATCAGAAGGAATCTTGATCTCCTTTGTATTGGATGTAGAGACAATTCTCAAGTTATGCAGTTAGCTTTTAAAAACCCTTGGCTTTTGTTTTCTTTTGAAAAGAGGGAAAATTGTTCGTATGTGTAACTAGTGTTGTGTTGCTCCTATTGTTGGAGTTCAGATGCAAATTCTTTTTTTTTTCAATGATCTGTTCTGTGTTCATTGGGTTATTGCTGCTTAGCCCAGCCTAAAAATAATACACAAGAATAATATGAAGAGAAAGAAAGGTGGAATAAAATGCAGTCAATTTGTGACTATTTGTACATAGATTTGCCCATATTGAGAACACATTTTTTGCAATAGTGTGTGTGTGTGGGGGGGGGAATTTACAGAGTGGGAGAACAGAAGAGGGGAAATATATTTTAGGTGGGCAAGTTTAATACATATTAAGATCTTTGAACAGAGTGACCTTTTTTTCTTTTTTAATCTTTATACACATATTGTTCCTAGGTTTAATATTGCCTTTTAATGATGTAAAATGCTTCATACTGATTGTTCCTAGCTTTAATTATTGTTTTTTGATGATGTTAACCATTGTTGTCTACTCATTGATTTAAACTTTAAACATTGTCTTTCAGTGCTGTAAGTCACCTTGGGTCTTTTTCAGGGATAAGGTGGGGAATGAATGAATGAATAAACAAATAGATAAGATACATTTCAACATGATTGCAATCAAATGAATGCAAGGTGGATATAAGGTCTTCACACAACAACCTCTGCTACTGCACTGTAAGAACAAAAACCATGGTGATATATTAATATAATGTCCAGAGCATAAAATATCCTTGGACGATATGTGATGTTGACTGAAATGGCTAATGCTACTAAAGTTACTTAAGTTACCAGCAATAGGCATCAGCACAAGCCCGAACATTCTGTGTTTTCAGATTAGTCATTTTTGAAAAGCTGAATAGGACTGTGGAATTCCTAATATCTGAAACCTCATATCCTTTTCTTTCTTTCCAGTTTGAGCAGGAAAACCAACGCCTTATTGGTGAAATGAACAGTCTGTTTGATGAAGTCAGGTACACTTCTCCCTCAAGTTACTGGGTTTTTGTTTTTGTTTTTTAAATGTTATGAGCCAGATATCCTCTGCTATAGCTCAATATAGCATAATGCATAACCTGGGGGGTGGGGAACAAAGCCACAGAGACAAAAATGAAGTAATGAGGTGATAAACTTTATCTAGCACTCTTAGGAAAGGGTAAACAGGACATTCCTAGTAAAACAATAAACTGCTAAGACTACATAACAAAACATATCAAAATAGTAAAAGCAGTTAAGGCAATGGCAAGCACACACCTTGCTCTGTCAGTCTGCATCAGTGTGGGAAGTTCTGTGTCAAGCAAAAACAATTAACCTCTTTTGTAGAGCCTTACCAGGAAGAGAGAGAAAACTCATGGCTCTAAAATAGGTCATAATTCCAGGTGAGGTCCACTTCAGTTAAGACAAATAAGACAAACACATTAACCCCATAATGACTGGAATGTAGGTTTTGCCATATGCCAACATAAACAACCCACTTTATGCAGATATACTCTTGACTTCCCTTTTCTTTAGATATATTGACACAAACACGCTATTGGGTATGGCATTTCTATAGTATGAAGAGCTAATGTATAGTGTGCTGTGTCTTGCTATTATACCTGTCTAATCTTTTCCCAGCTAGATAAATGAAGCTGATAGAGCCTTCTGTTTTTATGTGCTTGTTTACAGGTTCATTTTGCTGCACTCTTGATGTTTGTTGTTCATTGCTAACTATATAATACAGTTCTCTGATTAACATTGTCTTATACTGACTGACAGCCTGTCCACGCTGCATCGATGTTGGCATTGTTTGGATTAGGGGGAAAAAAGACTACATCTGCATATGTTTTTTCTAGTTAGAACAATGTATCCTTCTCCTTTAAGTGTCATTGCAGACCTTTCTGGCCCAGTTGTAGGGCATACATTCTTTTTGGCACCATTCAGCATGATCCAAAATAGCTCTTTTGTTTAGCCTGTTTGACTGGCATTGTGGGTGGCATTAACTGCAGTGACAACCCTGTGATGTATCAGGTGGGTTGTGACATTGAGAGGGAGGGCAGAGAAACCTCCTCCTCTATTTTCATCATCTTTTAAAAAAAAAAATCCCAAACTGACACGGTGAAATTCTATTACCATGTGAGGTTGGTGCATTGCCATTTCAGTGTGCCCCAGCCCAGCCCAGCCCCTTGAATGACAGCCAAGAGAAAAAGCAGTCTTGGAGTCCATGAGCTCCACCCCACAAGGAAGACCCACAACAGACCCCAGTTGAGAAGAAAGGCAGGAAAAGGGTTACTTCCCTTCCCTCTCCCCGAGCTTCACTCCAATATTTTCTCCTCAAGCTGCAGCTGTCCTTGGCTGCTGTTTCTGCTGCCTCCTTATTTGCAAGTAAATTGGGTAAACATATGCATGTGTTAACTGGGTAAACCTTGCTTTCTAGTAAACTGTGTGAACCTTGCACTGTGTGGACCTGTAGTATGGGAGAAGAGGATCCATAGCACAATCTCCAATGTGAATGGAAGGTTTGCTCAAGTGAGAGTTAAAACAGATTGCACTTAAGATTCCTTTTAAGCATGGCACCAAATTTCCCGGTGTGGACAGGCCTGAGACAGATAAATTGGCCCACTCTGGTTTAGTTCATCTATTTAACTCTTCTTCTTGCAGTAATCAACCAGCTTCTGGAAGTTTATACTCCCTAGCACTTTTTTCCCTTCTAACTGCTTTTAAAACAAGAGACTGCTAAATGTTGTTCTGCTAATTTATAGTATCTTCTTGGTAATTAACTGTATTAATTTACAGCTTGTAAGTCTGTAAAAAATGTACCATTTTATGTGTGTATTAGTATACCAAGAAATGAAGAATGCTTGCATTTAAATAATGCAGATTTTGTTACTTTTTTAGACAAATAGAAGGGAAGGTGGTTGAAATATCTAGACTTCAAGAGATATTCACAGAAAAAGTCTTACAACAAGTAAGAACAGACTAACTCTTGTACTTTAGTACCTTTAGATAAATAAAAGGAAAGTATCTTTAAGAAATTTTGGATGACTGAGCACAAATAAGCAGACAAGTAAGGTTTGGAGAGAGAATAAGATAGCTTCCTTGACTTCTTTTTTGGTTCAAAGCTACTGTTGCCCCCTCCCCCACCCAGTTCTCTGGATCAAAACTATACAAAGGCTACTGCAGGGGAATCAAAAAGATAGATGGAGCAGGCAGTAATACAAAAAGGTATAGGAAGAGGCCATTTGCATTATTCCTAATGATGCCAATTATAAATGAAGTTTTGCTCTCCTCCATTTGAACTGAATTCTTTACTGACCATTCAATTTAAATAGAAGAAAGGGGCATTTAGCGAGAGGTTTAGAGTTCAGTTCCTCACTGTACCTTCTTAACAGGGACTGGACTTGATCCATGGGGTCCCTTCCAGCTCTGCAGTTCTAAGATGATGATTCGGATTCAAACCATAGTGTCCTTTTCTGTATTTGTAAAGTGGTTATGTATTGGGGCTGTGTCATGACACTTGAAACTGTTCGTATCCTTCCCTTCCATAAACATATATGGAAGGTGCAGATGTATATTGCTGTGTACTTCAAGTGTCTCTTTATGGGGAAAAAAACTGTTAAAACCTTTGAGGTCAGAAGTTGGGCATTAGTAACAGCTCTGTATACCCTTATCTGCTGCTTTTCCAAGTGACATCTGGAAATGCTCCTTTTCCAAGTGACATCTGGAAAGGTTCTTTCACTCCAGTCTGTTTGGCTGCTATGTGAAGAGAGAAAGAAACTCATAATACATACAGTGATATTGCCAAGGGATAGAGGATTAGGCATGGCGCTGTTGCTTGTGTGCAACTACAGTTGTGCCCCCATTTGTGCTCTAACACTTAGCACTGGTCTCTGATTTAAAGTAAACATTAAAAGATAACAGGCAATTTTTGTTTTTATCTCTTGTTCCTCTTCATTCATTTCATTTGCTATAGCTTGTCTGTGTTTTTCAACATTCATGTTAACAGGAAGCTGAAATTGACAGTATCCATCAGATAGTTGTGGGTACAACTGAGAACATTAAGGAAGGCAATGAAGACATAAGAGAGGTGATCTAACATATTTCTTCCTTTGTGTTAAATGTTTGTGAAGTCTAACATGAGTCACCTTCAAAGCCTGCTTACAACATATTATGAGAAAACATTCAATTTAATTTTTAATTGTACCTTCTGTGGAGATTGCACCCCAAATTATATACAGAGCTGTGTCATATTCCAGCAGTTTTTTCATCATGAGGTAACTGAGGATTCAGAGGTAGATGTGGGTACCAAAAAGTGCTGGAAACTGAACCACCAAATGACTCCATCTAAAAACAGGTGAAGCTGGAAGAAAGGGAACAGTTTTGAAGAAACAAAAGCTGATCCGGATCAAGACTGAGTCTCTGTAAAACTGAGACAAAGGCAGTTTAACCCTCATGCCTAGGCTGGAACTCCTTTAGTTCCTCAGAGTCACATTCAGCATGTAGAATCCAAATAGAACTAATTAGGCCTATCATAAAAACAATCTGTAACATTATCACCTGAAAAGTTGTAAATAGTGTCACCAGGTTTCAAACATGTGTCATGTACACATGGTTTAACAATAGCTTAAAATGGCTGGTTTAACATGGTTTAAAAATGGCTGAGAAAAGGCTGTTGCTTTTTTTCAGTGTGATCCTTTTTGTCCCAGCCAATGTAATACATTAGGACAAAAATATCACACACTGCTTAGGCACATGTCACAAACTATGATTCCAAGCAGAAATAACACACTGTGTGTATTGGTAGTAGGTTGAGCTCCAGAGACATTGGAATTCTCAGTGAGTGTAGGAAATAACAAGATATTAAACTCTAAACCTAATGGTAGCCCTCCATACAATAGAATTCCTGTGGTTCAGGAAGGTTAGTTGAAGCTTAAATAGTATTTGTTATTCTTCTGAAAAACACACTTCTCCAACGCAAACTCACTGCAGTGCCTCATTCTGAGGAACGGTCTTCCCCAGTGTGTGGCACTGAAGAGCAAGATGGTCCTTACATCCTTGGCTGAGAGTGGTTCTTAAGTTCATGCAGTACGTACTACTATGAGAAAATAAAACAGGCCCTTAAATCTTGCAAATGACCAGTTGAGCTGCTTCCCCATTGCTAGAATTTGGCCTTGAACTGCAGCAGGAAGTTTTAATTAGGAAGCCGGCTGCCAAGCCGCGGTGTGGAAAAATCAATGTGAGGAGCTAAATTTATCCTCTCCCTATTCACCACCAGGACAGAGAGGCAGAAAAACTTTGGAGCCTTCTGTGCTATAATTCCTTTCTTAGAGGATGGCTGTTCTGCTCTAGCCATCTATCCAAAGAGATCTGGGATCTCAATCCAGCCCTACAGAGGACAGCATTGTAGAAATCTTTTTGTAGGCTTGCCTAGTGTTAGAGATACATCTTTTGGGGAAAAATGAATATCTTACTTTATTGTGATTTTAAACATACGTATTTTTAGTTGTTGTACAGTGCCAGTACCTTCACTGGGAAAAAGGTGAGATATAAATTAAATAAGGAAGTTAGTAAATATATAAATAAATAAAGTGTCATGGAGGAAGAGCCAAATTTCCCCAAAGTGGAAGGAAATTTGAACTTGTCTCAACAACTTAGAAGTTACTCACAGGCTAATACTCAAAAATTCATTAGAGTTAGGGGCTAAGCTTGGACAGTTACACATTATTTTAACATGTAATTATATTCATTAAGTTATTTGCAGTGGTCTGCAAAGCTTAGAGGATTGCTCCTTCCTACATTACAGGTTTAAATCTTAACTTGTAGCTGTCACTTTGTTTCCAATACGTTTAATCAAACGTGCTACCTTGAGTTCAACATGTGTAATCCTATCTGCTGCCTTGGGCCCAACGTGCAGTCCTTTAATCCATAATCTTTATGAATATTCTTTCTGAGCAATTCTTCCTTCCCCTTCGCTCTCCCTTCTCAGCAATAGAAGGCACTTTTCAGGGACATTCCCCTGTTCCACAGTTCAGATTGTATCCACAATGTTCCACACATCTATCTAAATGTTGTAACATCACTCATACCTGCCTTGGTCAACAAGTCAGCCTGTATTCCCTATTAGTTTCAGCTATATTCTGCTCTTAAAAATACATAATTCATGCATTACTAGAATGTAAATACCTACTTCTTTTTATCTCCTTAGCATTCGAGATCCATACTGAATTATGTTCTGCCCATTCCTGAATCAGATACTGTGGTCTGTGCATGGTATTTGCATTAGATTTTTTTTCCCTTTTTCTACAGGCAATCAAGAACAATGCTGGATTTCGTGTGTGGAGCTTGCAAGAGGCACCCCTCGCGATTAGGAGGGGAGGACAGACTCCGGGCTAGAATGTGAAAGGGGGAAGCCGGCGGAGGAGAGAGCGGCCGGTGGTGGTGGTGGGGACTCCCAGTGGAGGCTGGGCTTCCACGGGATCCCTTGGCCGGGATGAGAGGCTCCCCCTTAGCTCCCCGCCAGGTGGATCCTCCCACCTCCTCCCGGACGTGCAAGGGTCGCTTTGCCATGATCGCAAAGCGATTTATCCCCATAGAGGCCATCGCTAACCGATCGCTCTGGCTATGGCCCAAACCCCATCGTTAAGTGATTTCATCGTTAAACGGAGCGATCGGTAAGCGAGGCACCACTGTACTGTGGTCTGTGCATGGTACTTGCATTAGATTTTTTTTTCCCTTTTTCTACAGGCAATCAAGAACAATGCTGGATTTCGTGTGTGGATCCTCTTCTTCCTTGTCATGTGCTCTTTTTCTTTGTTATTCCTGGACTGGTATGGTAGCTAACCTTGATTGAAGCTTGCTTGAAGCCATGTTTAATCTGAAGATGTCTTCCCTGCAACACTGTTAGTATTTCATAAAACATCATGGTGGAAATATCTTTTTTTTACTTTACTTTTTACTTTATTTAGACTTGTACCCCACCCCTCTAAACAAAGTCTACTCATACACCTACATCATAAATCTACACACATCTGCATTCTTGAGACAAATACTCGGGTTGCATTTATACAGCACTCAATAATTTCCTGGAACAGGACAAATCTTTAAACAGCTAACAGACTGAAACTGGGCAAGTGGCAGGGAAATCTCAATAAAAGTGTAATGACAGTCATTTCAACAGGACATCATGGAGCTAGTGAAATGTACACAAACAAAACTGTTGTGGTGAATGAGCAGGAGACACTTTAGCCATCTATCCAATATTTATTTTAATCCCCCGATTCTCACTAAATTTAAAAAAATGTTCATATGAATTGCATGTTATAGTCCTGTAATATCAGTCAATTAACAAGGCAGTGACTCCCACTGCAAGAATTGTATTGAAGATAACACAAAATTTATTTGTCACAGTTTTGAAGTTGCTGTATGTGAAGCATATAATATACATATCATTGCAGTGTAATGAAACATGAACATATCTAATGCATTTATGTCCAAGAATTTTGGATACAAAAATCTGTTGTAAATTACAACAGTTTAACTGCTGGCCAAAGTGAACCTACCTGAAGCTATGCAGAAAGTCCAAAATTGCTTTGTTGTTTTGTAAAGGAATGAGTTCACCCACAACTGACACTGCAATTTACAGTGGATGAGTTTTGCTGTCTTCTCTTAAAAATTAAAAAAAAACATTGTACACCACCACAAAGAACAAATAATCCAAATTCTTCAGCCATTGCTGTGTAGCACAATTATAATTTGCAATATGTCTGGGAAAACTAGAGGGAATTTTATTGCAAATGGAACAATGGAAATCCTTCAGTTTTGATTTCTCTTAAGTTCAGTATCCATGTATGCAAACATACTGAGTTTGAGAAACATGATCATATTTTACTTTACAGAGTGAAAATGTCAAAAATTACATGTGCATTCACATTCAACAAAGTACTGATTACTAGGAAATACAAACATGGTATTGTTGACTACATTCATACAGGGCAGAAATTTTAAAAATGCAAAAGAAAGATTTGGCACATAATTTATTGCTCTTATACATTCCACACAGCAATACTGACATACTAAAATATATTTTACAACACATAACTATGTCCTGTGCTAAAAAATTTCCAAATGGAAAAGCAACTGGCATTTTCTAAGTGGACTGTGCTGCTTAAATGTATTGAAAAGAAACATAACCTAGAAGTGGAACTAACCATGTTTGTTCTACTAAATATGTTGGGGAAAGAGAAATATTCATGTTTGCAAAACAAGTTTCTATGAAAATAATGAAACTTTTGACAAGTCCACTGGAATATAGCAGTTCAGAACATAATCAAAATGACAGCTGTAGTTAGCTAAATGGTTTAATTACAGTGACATAAATTGAGTCCAAAGTCATTCTAGTGTGGTATTTTTTTTTTAAACAGTGATGCTTTTGCAACATGACCACCACTGGTTGGAAACATTACTCTGATGTCTCTACAATACAGCCACAGCACAGTAGCACAACACTGGAGATGTGAGGAACAGGCCAGAGCCAACTCTAACCTGTTTTCAGTCCAGGCATGCTGCAGCATTCCACTACACATTGACCATCAATGCTTAAGCCACTATGCCCATGTTTAAAGTTAATGAAATGTATTTAGAAAGCTTTTTAAAAAAAAAAAATGTAAGAATTTAGGAATCTGTCAACATAATAAAAGTTCAGCTACCATTTTAACACTGGCCTATAACATTTCTCTGTGCTCTTTTTATCTTGAGAAACAGCCTGCTTTTCATTCCACCCTTAAGGGACGTGGTGGTGCTGTGGGCTAAACCGTAGAAGCCTGTGCTGCAGAGTCAGAAGACCAAGCAGTCGTAAGATCGAATCCACGGGACGGAGTGAGCGCCCGTCGCTTGTCCCAGCTCCCACCAACCTAGTGGTTCAAAAGCATATAAATGCAAGTAGGGACCACCTCGGTGGGAAGGTAACAGCGTTCTGTGTCTAAGTTGCACTGGCCATATGACCACGGAAGACTGTCTTCGGACAAAACGCTGGCTCTATGGCTTGGAAACAGGGATGAGCACCGCCCCCTAGAGTCGAACACGAGTGGACAAAAATTGTCAAGGGGAACCTTTACCTTTACCTTCATTCCACCCTTACTCCTCACATGCCATATCAAACAGCAACGGGTGGCAAGTTGGAAGATTTAATGCAGGTATACACTTTTCTCCTCCATCCAGTTCTACAGATATGTATGTAAAAGTCCTGCTGAGTTCAGTGGAACATACTCCCTAGTATATATGCTTAAGAATGCAGTCTTAATATTTAGACATTAGAAAATGCCGAAGTATGGATTTCACAATATTTAAAAAGGGAAATATCTTAATATTATACAAAAAGAGAAAATTCTAAGAAAATTACTCCTGCTGTCATTGGACAAATTGCACTGTGAGTTACATCTACAGTGAAAGGCTTTTCTTCTCTTCCATAGGGCTGCACTACTCTTTAGTGTATTTTCTATTCTGAAAACATTGTCATGCTTAACATTCTTACACATTTTCTAAATATCACCATTCTAATGTACAGCTCCCTAGTGTATATTTTGTGTTTCAGTGCAAGTAAATATACATGATTCTCTAGGCATAGTGGTAATGCAGTGAAATAGTCACAGCTATAACAAATCAATGAGTAAGCATTCTTTTTGCAAAAACTTGATGCTGTCTTACTTGCTTGGTACAGTGAGCAAAAGTAGGCCAACTTTATTTCTTGATAATTCATTTTGGAGCTTCAAGCCAATTTTAGATACAGTTCCTAGCTAACTGTTATTTCTGCAAAACTGATTTTAAAACACAGAACACCAGTGCACACTGTAAAATGCAAATCTCTCTTGTCAAATTGCTCAATGAAATTTCTAAATTGCAAGAATGTATCAAAGTTTATTTTCATTGAAAGAGAAATTGGTATTAAAGCATAAGCAATGCCAATATGCACTTTGCCATTAATGGCCTAAGCTTTCGTTTTCTTTTTTCTTTTTCTTTTTGCAAAGCAGTTATCAGCAAACTAAGCAATTTGCACCATAAATATGAGTAACCTCTAAATTATCTGTAACCACGAGACATTTCATGAAGGCCCATTTGATACTTTCAAATTAAGAAGATTGATCATTCTAAGCTGATTTTTCAGCAGCGTCAGTCTCCTGCTCAGACAGTTTTTCTTCTGAAAGCACCATCATCCATGGAGATACAGATCGTGTGATGGTCTGTTTGGCCAGGTTGTAGTGGTTTATAACTGTATAAAATTTCCCTCTGGCACTAGAGTCTTGTTCAGAGTAGTAATTCTCTAATCCAGCTGGACTGCATTGATTGTTCTGAAAGACAACCATCATTTAAGGATAATTAATGTTATTTCTTGGCTACTTTTCGATTTCAAAAATATCTACATTTGAATGCAGATGTATTTTTTAAAAAGAGCATGTTAGAGAAAGCCAGGTAAGTAAGACCTGAATAGGGATCAAAACTGATTAAAGTGACTGAAGTAGAGAAGACTGCTCCATTGTTGTAGCCACTCAACTTGAGCCACAACCTTAGGGTGGGTGCATAGGCTGAGTGTGTTCTGGCTCACAGTAGGAGACTGTCTGGATAACGCAGACTCCACTTCTTCAGACAGTTGCTTTCTCACACATTCAGATAACTAATGAACAGGACTGTAGTCAAAGAGTTAGGCATACACAGAAAAGATTTATGATAGGAAATAAAAATGAAGATAGCTTGAAGGATGTGAGTTCTATATCACTCATGTCCACTCATGTCCAACATATGTATGCAGCACTGCTGTCTTCTGGTCTCTCCCTACAATTATACCAGCAGCATCTTATCATTCGTCCCCCTTTTCTCCCATTCACTCTAAGACAAACAAAATAGAGCTTCTCACCTCCATGCTACCTCTGACTGCTAAAGAGTATTCAACTTGATAATAAATGTGTGACTTCCTAGCACCTTCCCTCCTCAGAATTAAGTTCAACACTTGTCTCTTTTGAAATTATAAAAATAATCTATCCTTAGATGAATTTCAGATTTAAATGCCCATTTTAGAACCCCAACATTTAAAAGATGCACAGCAGTTTTTCACCAGACCCAAACTGGTAAAAATAGGAAGCGGAAGTATGTTAAGGCTTAGTGTGAAAACATGTCTCATTTAAAGAATTTTATTTACTCCTGTAACCATTTTTCAGTATCTTAAAAAACATTTTCAAAAGGTTGCTAGTTTATACCCCATAAAAGTAGATTCTGTGTCTTTATATATTGATACTGCAAGCTGCATCTTAAAACAGATTTTCAGTGTCTATAATATTTCACTGTGCAAGCAGTTTGGCTTTCTTCTCACTCACATAAGGAGTCATCAGATCACCTTGTATATGTGGATGTAAGCCTATTACAATGGCAATTTATACTTCTGTAATAGCAACAAGCCTTGATTCAGCATTGTTACCCTGGTGGAATGCTATGCTCTGCCAACACTTGACAGCTTCCCAGGCAGAATGTTAGAAAATGCACTCATCCTTAATTACAGAAGTTTTGTAGGTTTTTACAAAAAAAAAAGTGAAACAATCAATATAATCCTCAGAGAATCAAAATGTTTCTTGCAATGCAATCTTAATCATCTCTACTTAGGAGTAAGCTTTATGGAGTTGAGGGAAACACCATCTGGGAAGTGTGCATTGAATTACAAACTTGGGACGTGGGTATTCTTATTCAAGTGAAGCACCACTTCAGAAACCATTTTTTTTACTTTTTAAGTTCCTTTTCCTATTTTCAGAATCAGCATTACTGGAAATGTCCCAGAATCTCAAGCTTAAAAACAAACAAAAGAATGATTATTTCTGATTCTAACGTGAGATATGAATGTCAACAGATCAACCATTCACATTTTAGGTAAACTCCATATATTCATGCTACAGTATTCTAATTTCAGCACATGTCCAGGAAAATAAAAACCCAGAGATATTTGTCTACTGAAATACCTGGTCAGCATATGCCTTTCAACACAAATACTAATTTGGCCTAATAACAAGCATTGCCTGGTACTCTTACTCTTGGCATTACCAGCCTCAGGTAAAGAAATACTGAATATTTTTTATTAACCCATATCCAGTAACCAACAATTGAATTAGAACCTCCCAGGTTTAAGGTGGAAAGAGCATATCAGTCTACTGTTGGAGACGTATCCTTTCATGTTCCTTAACAGAGGCAGATACCACTATGGCATTTATCACTGCAGAGATAAACTATCGGTTATATGAGGTCTGTTCTAGAGAACAGAATAGACAGAAATCTGCACAATTTATTTAAATTCTATTGAATAGGCAAAAGATTAATATACTGAACAGATTTTCATTACCTAATTGATAGCACAGCCTTCCTCTCTCAGAAAATTTTACTGAAATGATTGGGATAGTACCAAAACATTGTCAAACCCACAGAATTTCTGCCCCTGTTTTGTTTTAAATCATACAACAATTGTTTTATGACAAAGTTAGAAGTGAAAAGAAGAAAATTTCTAGTCATACTTTTCACACCTTTTATAATTTTATAAGTTTGCCATGTTACCTTTAGTTTTTCTATTCATCCATTACTGGCCAGAATGCTATCTACCTTATATGGAAGCAAAGCTGCAGAAGCCACCTTAACATGGCACCAAGTGTGTGCCAGGCAAGCAACCAACACCTCATCAATTAGGCCATGATCACACAAGGGAAATGTTCTCTAGTTCTTCCAATACGTTCCATACTTCTGTTGTACTGATTCTTGGTCATGTGTATATATACCATGGCAAACATCCCAAGAACTTTTAGTGGTGACAATTTATTTCCGATTTAATGATACATCGAAAAAGGTTTTCTATTTGGGAATATGTTTTCTGTTCCACTGGGGGTTCCTGTAGAATCACATTGGTCTGTCTGCTTCCCCCAGCATCTCCGCTGCATTTCACCTTAATCTGTCATTTCCTTCCCCCCCCCCTTGCAATCCCAACTGTGTCCTCACAGCGAGTGACAAAAAGCAGCATGTCAAAATGCCATACTGCAGCAATGGCTCAGTTGCTCTGTGACGTATTTTTACCAATGTATCAATGTATTAGGTGCAAATAAAAATTAATAACACACATGCTGAAATAATGGAGGCCACTTTCACCACTTCAATTCTGAAAAGAAGTGGGGCAATTCATGCACAGGCAATTCTGGTAAAGAATGCACTGATACAGCAGAAGTACAAAATAACACAACTCTCCCAGGGAGTGGAAAATAAACTGAAGTTACACTGCTGGCCTCTTGACTGTGTATCGTGCGACCAGAGGAGGGGGGAGCACGATACACTGGGGAATAACTAGAGAGCACATCCCTCATGTGACCAGGGCCTCAGTCACAGCTAATTTTGCTTCTCTGTGTAGTAAAAATCAATTGGATCTTGGCCACATTTTTTCTCGCAAAAAGATATACGAGCATCCCACTGTCTTATTTAAAGATATTATATGCTTTACCTTGAACACAAAACCTTCTGGACAGGTATGGTCATACTTGTAAACTTTGTAGACTACCAGAAATACAATGCAGGTGAGGAATGCCAGAGCAAAAAGGACCAAAACAGTTACCTGTAAGTGGGGGAGAAAATGTAATTTTCCATTAATTTTATGTTGTCTACTAAAAAAAAAAAATCAATACCTTCAGAAAAACAGACTGTATCTATGCTCCAGTGGAGAAAATTCCCAGGAATGCCAATACAAGTGATAAAAGAGAGTGTGTATACTTCTTTAACCATGTTCCTAATGTTAGCATATGGCACAGCCCCATTAACACCTCCCTTTCAAAAGGAAAGATGAAAGAGTGGGTCTCTGACTACGGACTCTGGATGGAAAACCCACATCAGCTGTTACTTGAAATGTTTTAGGAATAAAGGAACCTTGCACCTGCATTGTGGAATGGAGCAGTGGTACAAATTACTTGTGGTGATAAAGCCGCCACAAGATATAGTTTTGACAGTGTTCATGTAATGGCTCAAATCATAGACAAATGGTGACATTTCAGCTCACCATCTCTAAAAATTCTTCTGAATGTGAAATGAATAGGTGAATAATGGTTTGCACTTGTCTGTAACAAGTATTCAGTGAACAATCATCATGCTAAAAAAATAGCACCACAAAAACCTAAGTTTTATTTTTTCAGTTTGATGGCAGAGAAATTTTTTGTGTGATGTTTTCAACTAATGCAAAAACACCTTGAAAAACCTGAAATTGAATATATTTTCACATTTTTCTAATGAGAAAAGGTAAATAAATATGAATTTGATTTTGAAACATCACAACATAAAAATCCGTGCAAATTGTGAAATGAAAAAGATTTTTTTTTCTCTCTCATTGAAATGCATTGGACGGACATTCAATAGAGTTCAATGAGGGAAAAACAAAAAATCACCAAAAATTAACGACGACTCAAAACACCACCAAATTAAGTCTGCATAGGGTTCAGGAGGTGGGCTAACGATTGCAAGCATTTAAAACAGGTTCCAAACATTGTAAGACACTTAAAAATGAGCGAAAACGGAAGAGCTCCAAAGCACTGTAGCCGGCTTCAGTGCTTTTGAAGTCCTTCCCGATGTCCGTTTTCGCTCATTTTTAAGTGTCTTACAATGTTTGGAACCTGTTTTAAATGCTTGCAATCGTTAGCCCACCTCCTGAACCCTATGCAAACTTAATTTGGTGTTGTTCTGAGTCGTCGTTAATTTTTGGTGATTTTTTGTTTTCTCCATTGAAAGCCTTTGAACGGACCATTCAAATCACCAAAAATTAACGAAGAGTCAGAACAACACCAAATTAAGTTTGCATAGGGTTCAGGAGGTGGGCTAACGATTGCAAGCATTTAAAACAGGTTTCTAACAGTTTAAGACACTTTTACAGGAGCGAAAAAGGGACATCGTTAAGTGAAATTCCCCCATAGAGAACATCGTTAAACGATGGGGGAAATTCCTCAAAGAAACCCATTGCTGTGCGAATTCATCGTTGTATGAAGCAATTGTTGTGCGAGGCACCACAACCACCACAATCTCAACAACAGGTGCAGACATTACCTGCAGTGCAGTCCATGGAAAGTTTTCAAGAGCGGATAGCAAAAGAGCCACTTGTTGAAATGTCATGGCTAGTGTCCTTTTCTCTTCTGGCAAACTTTGCACGAGTGGTTGGATTTTGTCTCATATAAAGTGATCCTAGGTTCCCACTGCACCCTGATAGTTGGCCAATTTTTTTCCAAGAGCAAAAGTAAAATACACACACCTTCCAATCTGATCCATTTACATCCTGTTGAATAAGGTTTACTTTTAGACCTGGCTTGACAGACTTCAACAATTATTGAATTTGGCTGAGGATGCTTGAATAGGAAATATGCACGCTCTTCCTGGACTTTATACAGGTTCTCTATTCTCTTTGATGTTGGTGGCAAGGAAGATGGCTTTTTCTAGGATTCTTTAATTAGGTAACATAATATTTGGAGTAGTTGAATCTCAATTGGCTGAACAATGTTCTTTTGTTTTGTTTTGTTTTCAAAAACTGGGTCTGTTTTTGGAGGTAATGGTATAAATACCTCAATCTTGAGTGATTTCACCATCCTCAATATCATATCTGAGTAGCTGCATACATCATCTGAATTATTTATTACTTTTTTATTTATATAACAGAAAAAAGACAATAAACATTCAAACATAAGTTACAATACACTCCTTAAATTCACTATCCTTCTACACTGTCATTCTTTACATTTCACCTCCACCCTGTGCCACCCTCCCCTTCAGGACCAGGTTCCAATATTTTAACTTTACAATTTGTGCCACCTCATAACTTTCCAAAAATACATTGATTCATCTCTTGGTATGTACCCCTTCCTTTTAAACAGATCATGTTCCAGAAATGGATTCCATATTTCTCTAATATTTTTAACATACCTCTTCTAATTTTCATATCACAAAATCTATTATTAGTTGCCATATTCCACATTTTTCTGTACCATTCCGCCATATTGATTTGATTGTCACGTTTCCAATTATTTGCAATTACTAACCTTGCCATAGTTACTATTATGGTGATTGACTATTTTTCTTCCCTATTTACTTGTTTAACAATGTTTAAAGGCAACCATAGGAGACAATTGTATATCAATTCCTATTGTATTTCTTATTTTATTAAAAACCCAGGTCCATTCTTTCCTTCTAATTTCACAAAACCACCATATATGCATATACGTCCCTTTCTCATTCTTATACCTCCAATGTAGAGATAATATATACTTGTTTATTATTTTAAACAATGTTTAATACCATTTCCATATTGCCTTATGTAACGAACAGCCCTGACCTCACCTGCCCGTCACCACAAAACATTGATGCGGGAGCCAATGAGTGAACGGAAGGCAGAGCCAGGGGGGAGAGAAGAGGATAAAAAGACTGGTGGAGGGAGTTTGAGAGAGAAAGAGACTGTGTGTGGCTTAAAAGTGAGAGAAGAGTGAATTAGAGAGTGTCCTTTCAGCTTTGGCCCAGTCACTTCATTAGCTCTAGAGCTACTTGTCGTCTGCTCTTCCTCAGTAATATATTGGATGTCTTCCGATCTGAGGGGCTCATCTTCCAGCGTCATATCTTTTATCCTTTTGTTTCTGTTCATGAGGTTTTCTTGGCAAAGATACTGGAGTGGCTTGCCAGTTCCTGCTCCAGGTGGATCGCATTTAGTCAGACCTTTACCATAGGTGTTTCATATTCTGCCTTTACTGTTTTTATATATATTTCACTTATAATATCATTCCTAATTTTTATTATTTCCCCTTTGTCTTTTTCTATATATTCCTCAAACTCTATCAGTCTTCCTACCTTTCCTTTCTTCCTTTTCTAGTCCTTTGTCCATTTTTCTATTACAGTATCTGTAACCATGAGATCGCCTCTTCTACAAACATTTCTCTTATTTGCTCATCTTGTATTCTTTCCATCCATTCCTTAATCCTTATATTCCCTTTATCTTTTATTAATGCCTTTACTTTAAGATTTTCTGGGAATTTTTAAACATTGACTATCTGGGTTACAGGGGAAATCAGTGACCTCAATACAGTGGTGCCTCACTTAACGACGTTAATCCGTTCCGGAAAAAACGTCACTAAGTGATTTAATCGTTAAGCGATTTTTAAAAGCCCATAGAAATGCATTAAAACGTGTTTAATGTGTTCCTATGGGCTTCAAAACTAACCTTAAGTGAAGATCCTCCATAGGGGCGGCCATTTTCAGTGCCGCTTAAGGGAGGCCAGCCACAACCGGAGCCTGCTGGTCTGAGGAGGAGTCAGCCCCGGAGCCCTCTCTGCTCCGTGGGTGCACGTTCCCCTTCCCCTCGCCTCAACGGAGCCCAAGGCTGGACAGCCGGGAATGGCTGCCAAGGGCCCTGAGCTCTGCCCGCTTGAAAGAGAGCGAGACAGCGAGAAGGAAGGGAAGGGAGAAAAAGAGGGAAGGCAGGGGAGGCGAGGAGAGCAGGGCCGCGCTCCCTGCGCTGTCTCGTCTGGAGTGGGAGCCTGGCAGTGACGGAGCAGCTGCCACCAGAGCCTGCTGGTCTGAGGAGTCAGCCCCGGAGCCCTCTCTGCTCCTTTAAGGCAAGGCAGGTGGGGGGTTCGCAAGAGGCACCCCTCGCGAGGAGGGGGGAGGACAGACTCCGGGCTAGAAGGCGAAAGGGGGAAGCCGGCAGAGGAGAGAGCGGCCGGTGGTGGTGGGGACTCCCAGTGGAGGCTGGGCTTCCACGGGATCCCTTGGCCAGGATGAGAGGCTCCCCCTTAGCTCCCCACCGGATGGATCCTCCACCTCCTCCCGGACGTGCAAGAGTTGCTTTGCCATGATCGCAAAGCGATTTATCCCCATAGAGGCCATCGCTAACCGATCGCTCTGGCGATGGCCAAAACCCCATCGTTAAACTATTTCATCGTTAAACGGAGCGATAGGTAAGCAAGGCACCACTGTACTCTTCTATAACTTCTCCAACTTTTTAGAAAATTTTCATAAAGGTATTTGCTATATTATTAATCTCTTCCTCAGTTTTTTCTTTAAAAAAATACTCTCCAAGCTTTCCTCATTTTTGCCCTTTTCATATCAATTTTTTATTGTTTAGTGTAATATCCAGAACATGCCTTAACTGATTTGCTATATAATATAGCTTAATGCTATACCTCAGCCTCCCTCTTTTGGTGAAATGTGCCACAGTTTATCAATCCTGGCTCTTTTGTTTCCATTACAATACTTATTTATCAAAATCTGCCATTCCTGTAATTGTTTTTCTGTTATCTTTATTGGTAGCATCCAGAATTAAAAATTTAATTTGGGGATAATTTTCATTTTGCAAATCACTATTCTGCCAAACCACTAAATCTTTAATTTTTTATATTTCTTTATTTGATCACTTATCTTTTTCTTCAGCCTCTCCAAGTTTATTTTAATTACACCCATATCCTAAGTTTCCCTAAATATTTGATTGAATTTTTAATGCTTCCCCTCAAATTTATTTTTCACACAGATCTTTTCTTGTTGATCGTAATTTAGTACTATACATTCAGACGTGCTCCAATTTACCGTTATTTCTTCAAA